TAAATCCTTGACAACATAAATCTTTTCTCCAGTTACCAATTACTGCCAGTTGGTCCTGTGGTGAGTACTTTGTTTCCTTTTTGTTCAAGTGTAATCCATTCTAAAGGCTATAGTCTTTGAGCTCCTTCAGTAAGTGCTTCAGTTCTTTTCACTCTTTTCAAATAAAGCTGTTATTATAAAATGCAGGCTTTTGATAAGTCTTTCCAATCCTAAAGGCCCATTCTTCATATAGTCCTACTTCTCTCATTTGCCACACATAACAGATTGCATTGATGTGGTGAAAAGAAACATCAGTGGCACATCCTTCCTATGATTTTAAACTATCCGTCTTCTCTTTTTTCTGTTTAAAGAACTGATTTTTTTATTGATGTACACATGAGCACAATTCAGTGTTCTGGAATTCCCAGTCTTTGTGTAAACGATGATTTCATATGTTTCCCATTATCAGATGCCTTTGCATAGTCAAATGCAAGTAAACATTTTCCTGATAGTCTCTGCTTTTAGCCAAGAACTATCTAACATCAACAGTGATCAACCTCTTTTGAATACAGTTTGAATTTCTGACAGTACTATCTCCATATAATACTCCAACTGTTCTTTATTCATCTTCAGGAAGCTTTTAATTTGTGTATGATATCACTGCTCAAAAATAACCTTTTTTTGGAATGGGCACAAAGAGAGATTTCTTTCAGTTACATGGCCAGGTAATTTTCTACCAAATTTGTTGACATTCGTAAGTAAGTTGTTGTTGTTGTTGTTGTTGTTAAGTACTGTGGAGTCATAGATGACTCATAGTGACCCTATGAACAAAAGACCTGAACACTTGTATAACTTTCATCATTTCTTCATGTTCATAGAGTTTCTGGAGGCAAGCTATTTCAGAAGTGGATGCCACTCTTGCCTCCAAGCTTGTTTTAATCGGGAAGCTCCACTGAACACTGTCCCCTATGGGTAACCATTTTCACATTTGACACATCAGTGTCATAGTGTTTAGCATCACAGAAACCACGAGTTACCTCTGTACAGCAAATGGACAAATGGACAGACCAGTGCTATACCGCTTAGAAGAATATTTGATCAGAAACAATTAAAACCAGGCCTGAGGACTGCAGATTAAAATCACCTGCCTTTGGCTTGATAGCATTACTTTCTATCCACTAGGCCAGCAGAGCTCTCTCGTCGTTGTGTTAAATGCCATCAAGTCATAGACAACACATAGTGACCCTAGGAACGAAAGACTTGAACACTTGTAAAGCTTTCATTGTTTCCGGAGGCAAGGTGTTTTGGAAGTGGATTCCACTCCTGTTTCCAAATACTTGAATATAAACTATTATTTATGATACTCTGTACCAATGAGTAAGTACATCTACCAAAACACTTCAGTTAATGTTTCACCAATTCCTGGAACACCATTTTTTTGCCACTGTCTTCAGTGCAGATTCCTTTAGTACCACTGGTTCTTGGTTATATGCTACTTCGTATTCATTTGCAACTAATAAATCATTGTACAAAATCATTGATCTGTCCTGCAACCTCTGGCCTCTTTCTGTTCCCAAGGCCATATATTCAAACTACCAATCCTCATTTTTATTTACAACTCTTGAATTCCTGCCTGTCATCAGTTACTTTCCGTATACTTCAATTGTATATTTGATCAATTTCAGATTCCAGAATTTGGTCGTCATTATATACAGTCGAGTCAGAACCAACAAATCTTTGTATGTTCTTTATGACCATGAATTAGACACTGTTGTCCTGTGATTTGTCATTGCCAACATAAGTGACCATGTCACTTAAAGGCATTTCCTGTCCATTTTACGTCACTAGTGCTTGGGATATCTGTTATTATACATTACATTTCTTTTTCACATCCTTCTGTTTACACGGATTCATACATTCCTTGCAGTTTATACATTCCATGCTTCAATTATTAGTTAATACTTATAGCTCTTTATCCTCTTTGGCATAATGTCTATATCAGCACATGAAGATCCTTCATTGAGTGAAAGCTTTACTATCCACATCATTAAGTATACCCTGCTTTGAAGAGATAGCTTATACCCAGTCAAATTATTTTGCGCACCTTCCAATCTGAGGGTTCATCTTCTGCCACTGTATTAGGCAGGCAATGTTCTGCTGATAGCCATAGGAATTGTGGCATTCCATTATTTCAGAAATATATAACCAATCCCTCCTCTTAGTTTGTCTTAGAATGGAAGCTCTGTTGAAACGTAACTCACCATGGATAACCCTGCAGATGACTTAGCTTGCAGCATTACAACAACATGGAAGCCACCATAGTATGGCAAACTGGCATCTTCATGGGGGTTTTTTTCAAATATAAATATTTGTGTCAATATCTAATAATTTTTTCATTCTTTTTAGTGTTATCACCATTTTCTTTTCATATTGGTGATACAACAAAACTGGAACCATACCTACATGGAGGCATAGCTGTCCAAGTTAAAACGTCTAAAGTTTTTCATTTTGTAAGTATTTTTTTTCTTTGTAAAAAATGTTTATTCATGGAAGAAGAATGGCAGTGGTGGAAAAAGTCATAAAATAAATAAATACACAGTTAAGCAACCACATGCTTAAAAGCTGAACAGATTTAGGGTGTTGTCCCCTCTCCCCCTCTCCTTTTTCACTAGGATTGTCAGGCTAGAAACCATTCTGAGTGAGCACGGGTCAAACGCTGAGTGTAAAAATAGCCACTTCAACAAACGAATGGTGGAGAAGCTGTGGTACATTCACACAATGGAATACTACATCGCATTGAAAAACAAAGAACTCATGCAATATTATTCAAAATGGGTGACCCTGGAGGACATGATGCTAAGTGAAATATCTCAGTCACAAAGGGACAAATGCTATATGGTGGCACTGTTGTAGAATGAGGCTGACATCGGGGTGGGGGTAAGACTGAGAAAAACTGGATAAATTATGTTTACTGCATTAAAGTCTATGAGGGAGAGAATAGTTTAAAAGTATTCTGTTTTAGGGCATTATGTTTATCATAAGAGTATGGAATGAGGGTTGCAGAGTGGATTATATTTGGGGTGGGGGTTGGGTTGGGGGTATGCGGGGGAGATTGTGTAC